TGCATGACTGGAAAGTGTGACTGAAAAAGAGACCGGAAATGCTCAACCTGGCGCATGCGTAGACGTTTTGCCGCGGTGTTGCCAGTCGCTATTTTTTCTTCTTCCCTTCCCATGAGACCCCGCGCGCGCCTCAACCTAATCCCCAATCTTCTGTCATCCCAAAAAACACTTAAATAGCGACTGGGTACGAGTCTGTACCGCTCCTGCTCATGTTACCACGATACGTGTAACTATAAAAAGATGTACTAAACTCATTGTTTAAGCATATCTAAATTGTAAATACAATTCCCTGGATTATAAACTTTCCTATAGCTTAGGATGGAAACAGTGCGGGAAATGGATTGAAAGTGAAAACGTTGACTCAACGTTTTCACTTTCAATTCAATTACGGAATCGCGCCTGTAGAAACGGGTCGCTAGTAAATGCAAATTTTTGTCAATCAAATGTCTCCTAGCTATTATTTGTAGGGGGAAGTTGGTGAAACATCGTTATTGTTTTGGAGACAATAGAAGAACAAAAGATGTCAGAAAGATCAAGTTATGCGATCTTAAAGCGTGATGCGTGACTTTAATCAGTTGCAGCATTTCTCATAACTTTCCGCATTAAAACGTTGGAATGAAAAGTCTGAAGCTTAGCTTATAAAATCTTGATAGCCAAAATAAAAAGGGTGCCCAAAAAGGCAAGCATCTGATAATTCAAAATCAGCATTTTTGTCTCCAGCGAACTCCGACGGATAAACAGTAATTTGCATATAAGTGTAAGTGAAGCGAAATAGATTCGAAATGACGTGGTTGTAAACACATTAACGTTTCCTCAAAGTTTTTTTTTTCCTTTTGAAAGCGTAAATTCGCATTAAACAACTCAGCTTGCACAAAATATTATAAAATGAAACGGAGCAAATCGAAAAGTGTCAAAAAAAAAAAAGCCAGGATATTTTAGTTCAATGGAAAGTAAGTGATTGGGTAGATGATTTGCATACTGATAAAAACAACTTCTAGCGCAGTTCAAAACCGTTCGACTTCTTGGTTGTTTTTCTCGCATTCTATACATTCTGCTTGCCTAAATCATTAAAATATCTTAATTATGAAGTCAAAATATTTATCAAATTGAGCGTGTGCATTTCCTTATAAAACAGAGAGTAGCGCGAAAGCTTCGATCTATCGATTTTCTTAAGTTAAATTAATTTTGTATCATGGAAACAATACGCTAACACTTGGGTCTTTTTGAATGAAAGGACGCGACATGCGTCGGCTTCCTTTGTGAGCGCGCAAATAGTCGTGGGACCCGCGATAACCAAAGAGGTTCGTTTTCATAATAATGGAAACCAAAAATGATAGTTCAAAACATTTCATGAGCCATACAAATCGTAGTTTATTCTAGCTTCTACTTGCAGTATTATAATTATTGAATTGTAAACTGAAAGTTTGAGAAAGGCTTAGCTAGCGCAAAGTAAAGATGATAAATTAAATATGTTCTTCAATAGCGCGTTTATCTATATGAATCCATCAGCACTTTTTTATACCCCGTAAGAAGCTTTATCCGTGACCCTTCGAGGAAGAAAAGAACCTATTTCGAACGACTTCATGCGAAAAAAGGGAAGAGATCTGTTCGAGCAGTATGTGCATCTTCAACTTCAGGTAATCATGCCACTATCAAGATTCACTAACCTATCGATGCAACCCTTATATTCCATATCGTTGACGAATTAGAATAAACTGGAAGCTGCACTTTTGCAATCGGTGTTGAACCTCAATTCTGATATAGTGTATAAAAAACTTGATTTCATTATTCTCCCCGGTATTATTCTGTTAATGGCGGCAATTTTATAGTTAAGAAATAGAGCAGGTTTGTAAAATACACCACCTGCATGGCGAAGGCTCTTTGACTACGGCCATTTCAGTGCCACTGAATAAAAGACGAATTGATTGCATATAATCATGTAGCCCGCAAAAGCAAATCCACTCTAGTAAATTTCGAAGATAAATTACAATCTGTTTTTTCTTTAAGCTACATATCTTAAACGTTGCAAGAATTACAACGACTGATGGTTAATAAATTGGAAGTCATTATGTCAATGACGGACAATCGAAAGAATTTTACCTTCAAGAAGTTTTATGTCCTCTGTCTTGGAGTTTGAAGCTGATTTCGATAGGATGCTGCAAAATCGAATAGGACCTCTCATTAAGTACCTGAGCATTCACCAAAACCAGTTTTTCAGGTTTTGATGGGCGGTACCTGGTTTATTCCGGTTAATGTTAAACTAAGAACAATATAACTTCCTGTCATTTGACAGTCACGGGATTTCTCGGAAAAGTCCGTGTTCCATCAGTTTCAG